GCTCGTCTCCAGCTCCGCGAGCGGTTCCAGTCGGACTTTCCTGTCCTGCGTCTGCACTCTGACAGAGGTGGTGAGTTCTCCTCAGACCTCTTGGCAGCCTTCTGTGCGGAGCACGGCATCCGCCAGACGTTCACGCTTCCAGCCTCTCCGCAGCAGAATGGGGTTGCTGAGCGCCACATTGGCTTGGTCATGGAGGTCGCTCGTACCTCCATGATCCATGCGGCTGCCCCCCATTTTCTGCGGCCGTTTGCGGTCCGGTACGCCGTGCATCAGCTCAACCTCTGGCCCCGTGTCTCCTTGCCTGAGACCTCGCCCACACTGCTGTGGACGGGGAAGGTTGGCGACGCGTCGCGTTTCCGGGTCTGGGGTGCTCGTGCCTTTGTCCGCGATACCACTGCGGACAAACTCTCCCCTCGCGCCATTCCTTGCGTCTTCCTTGGCTTTGTCCCTGACGCGCCTGGCTGGCAGTTTTACGACCCCGCCTCGCGCCGTGTCTTTGCATCTCAGGACGTCACCTTTGACGAGCCGGTCCCCTTTTACCGCCTCTTCCCCTACCGCACTGCTCCTCGCCCCCTCCCGCCGCTCTTTCTCGCCCCAGGTCCTCCCCAGGTAGACCCCCTCCCTGCGCCAGGCCCTGCTCCTTCAGGTGTTTCTCAGGTAGACCCTCCCGTCCCTGCGCCTGTTGAGGTCACTGGTGACTCCGGTTCTGCTGGGAGTGGTGCTTTCCCTGGGGGTGCGGAGCTCAGGGGTGCGCAGCGTGGGGGTGCTGAGCGTGAGGAGCCTGAGGGTGCGGAGCCTGGAGGTGCTGAGCCTTCGCGTGAGGAGCCTGGAGGTCCTGAGCCTGGGGGTGCTGCGTCTGGGGGTGCTGCGCCTGGGGGTGCTGCGTCTGGGGGTGCTGCGCCTCCGTGTGCGGAGCCTGGGGGTGCTGAGTCTGGGGGTGAGTCGCCTGAGGGTTCTGAGACTGCTGTTCCGCGGTCTCCTTGGAGTAGCCGCCTTCGTCCGCGTGTGCCTCTCACCTCCCAGCAGCTGCACGACTGGTACGGTCGCTGTCAGCGTCGCGCTTCTGCACCTCAGGGCTCTACTGCTGGGGGTTCTTCTGCTGGCGTCACTGGAGCTGGGAGTGGTGCTGGTCCTTTACCTACTGGAGGTGCTGGTGTCGCTGGTCCCGGAGGTGCTCGTACTGGGGGTACTGGAGCTGCTGGGGCTGGCGGTGGTGTGTCTGAGGGTACTGCTGCTGGTGGCACTGCGGTTGGAGACCCTGGGACTGGAGGTGCCGGTTCTGGGGGTGCTGCACCAGGAGGGGCTGGAGCTGCTGAGGGTGCTGGAGCTGCTGGAGGTACTGGAGCTGCTGAGGGTACTGGAGCTGCTGGAGGTGCTGGAGCTGCTGAGGGCGCTGGAGCTGCTGGAGGTACTGGAGCTGCTGAGGGTACTGGACCTGCTGGAGGTGCTGGAGCTGCTGAGGGTGCTGGAGCTGCTGGAGGTGCGGGAGCTGCTGTGGGTGCTGGAGCTGCTGGGGGTGCTGGAGCTGCTGGTGCTGGTGGCACTGCACAGCCGCGCCTGTTCTTTGCTCCGCCGTCTCCGTCGTCTCTGCCACCGCCTGACTGCGTACTTCGCCAGGTTCTTAGCCTCCCGTCGTCTCCTGGTCTTCCGTTACAGCCTGGCTCACCACTGCCTGCTCCTTCTCCTTACGCTGAGCAGACAGGGGGCCTTACTGAGCGTCGTGAGCCTGCGTCGCGTCCTGTCTCACCTGTCCGTTCTGGTCGTTTCAGTCGGCGTGTTCCTCGTCAGCGTCAGCCGGCTGTCCCCGGCCCTTCCCTTGTAGCCCGTCGTCCTTCCTCTCCTCCGCAGAGTGTTCCTCTGCCGTCTCCTCCTGCGTCTTCTCTGCCTGTCGTTGCGGACCCTGAGTCTGACCAGTTTTGTACTGAGCACCCTACTGTCACGCGTCTGCTAGCCACTGTTGTCACTGACCCGTCGTTTGAGTCCGCTGCTGCGTCTGCCTTAGTCGCTGAGCTTGTCGACTTTGCTGCTGCCTGTCGTCTAGACTACGCTGCTAGTCTTGTTGCTGAGTCTGAGTCTGTCTGTCCTCCGTCCGTCGGGGGTGAGTGTGCTCTTAGCACGGACGTCCTTGAGGACAGGCACGAGGACCTTGAGTGTCTTGCGGCCGCTGCGCCTCATCTCGTGGCCATGCTGCTTGCCCCTGAGGGAGACCCGGATGCACCAGACATCCCGACCCCGCGCTCTTACGCTGAGGCGATCGCGGGTGAGTTCTCCTCTCAGTGGCAGACAGCCATGGACGCAGAGATGGCATCCTGGAAGTCCACAGGCACGTACGTCGACGAGGTTCCCCCTCCTGGGGCGAACATCGTCAGTGGCATGTGGATCTTCAGGGTGAAGCGGCCGCCAGGTTCTCCGCCTGTCTTCAAGGCTCGTTACGTTGCTTGAGGTTTCAGTCAGCGAGAGGGAGTTGACTTCTTCCAGACTTTCTCCCCCACCCCGAAGATGACCACTCTTCGGGTGCTGCTGCACGTTGCCGCTCAGCGTGACTACAAGCTTCACTCTCTTGACTTCAGCACAGCTTTCTTACAGGGCAGCCTGCACGAGGAGATCTGGCTGCGCCGCCCACCCGGCTTCACTGGGCCGTTCCCTCCTGGTACCCAGTGGAGCCTCCGGCGGCCGGTCTACGGTCTCCGCCAGGCGCCACGTGAGTGGCACGACACACTGAGGACGACACTTGCGGCTCTTGGGTTTGCTCCTTCGACTGCTGACCCGTCGCTGTTTCTGCGCACCGACACTTCGCTGTCGCCGTTCTACATCCTCGTGTACGTCGACGACTTGGTCTTTGCCACTGCTGACACTGAGGCTCTCGCCCTGGTGAAGTCGGAGCTGCAGAAGAGACACACGTGCACAGACCTGGGTGAGCTGCGCATCTACCTTGGCTTGCAGATCACCCGGGACAGAGCACGCCGCACCATCACACTGACTCAGTCACACATGGTGCAGCAGGTCCTTCAGCGCTTTGGCTTCACCTGGTCCTCAGCACAGCACACTCCTCTGGCTACAGGTCACTTGCTCTCAGCTTCACCTTCGGACGAGTCCGTAGAGCCGAGTGGTCCTTACCCAGAGCTAGTGGGCTGCCTCATGTACCTGATGACCTGCACTCGTCCTGACCTTGCGTACCCTCTTGGCCTTCTGGCTCGCTACGTGGCTCCTGGTCGGCACCGAAAGGTGCACATGGATGCTGCTAAGAGGGTACTGTGCTACTTGTGCAGTACATCGGGCATGGGGCTCGTGCTTGGAGGGCGGAGTCCAGTTGTCCTCACTGGGCACTCAGACGCTTCTTGGGTTGACGATCAGGCTACACAGCGGTCGTCACAGGGTTACACGTTCAGCCTTGGCTCCGGCTCTGTTTCTTGGCGGTCTACACGCTCGTCTTCAGTTCTCAGCTCCAGTTGTGAGGCTGAGATCTACGCCACAGCCATGGCTGCACAGGAGTTACGCTGGCTCACCTACCTGCTGACCGACCTGGGAGAGCGGCCTCGTTCTCCTCCAGTTCTGTACGTAGACAACAAGGCCGCCATTGCCTTGTGTCAGGAGCACAGACTGGAGCACAGAACGAAGCACATCGCTCTGCATTACTTCCTGGCTCGAGAGTTGCAGCAGCGGGGTCAGCTTCGCCTTGCTCACGTGGCCACTCGGGCCAACACTGCTGATATATTCACCAAGGCACTTCCGTCTGGTGACCATCAGCGCTTTTGTACTTTGTTGGGCCTTGTGCCTACGTTTCCACACTTGCTGTAGTCTCTGCTTGTACTGTGATCTATATATATATATACCTGCATGCTTGCTCTTGCTAGCTAGAGATCACTGTGCTGTTCTTGTTGCTTATATACCTCTGCATGTGGACTGGCCTTGTGGCCGTTTGCTTGTGCTCAGTGTGTGTGGTGACGTTGTGATCCACCCTGAGCTGTGTTTTGTTTCTTCTCTTGACCGGTCTTGTGACCGTTGCTTGCTCTGGCTATCCCCCATTTCGCCTATGGGGGTGTGTCAAAACATATGCATATCATTATCTAGGCTATATTGGGGATAGCCTTAGGGGGTACAGAAACTTTCTCGACACTCTAGTCTTGTACCCCAACCTTGACATAATATAAGCATTCTTGCCTTAGTTCTTAACAAGATGAGCAGGAGGAGGGAGAGGAAGAGGCCGTGGAGGCCGTGGCGGTCGCAGAGGTGGTGCTGCAAATATGAAGAATGGTGACAACGAGAGTGAGTCGAGGGACGATCGCTTTCCGGGTCAATTCTTCTTCGTGTCGACGCAAGCATCGGCTGGACCAGAGAAGGATGAAGGCTTTGAGGAGCCAGCTGCAGTGGGGAAGGTGACCCTACACTCCCTGGACTATTGGGTGATCGATAGCGGCGCTACCTATAGCATGACACCTCACGCGGACAACTGGTGCAGCATTCACGCACAAAGACTCCTGGACACGCGTGCATGTGAGCTGAGCACACACCCAGCTCCTGCTCGAACCCACCTGTGCGCATGCACGAGCACACACGCAGTACTGAGAGGTGCTGGAAACGGCCACGGGGTGGCAAGTGAGACTCAGTGCTCTCCTCCCATGCAGCCCATGCAACATGTGTGTGCTTGTGTGTGTGGATGCGGGTGGGTGGGTGTGAGTGATGGGCATGTGAGGCATGGCAGGTAGCGCCCACCTGAGTGACAATGTCACGGTCTGCTGCGCTGAAAGACTGCGCAAAGTCATCCATAAACTGTGCCAGCCGACTGTGAGTGATGCACAGGGGCGAGGGAGGGAGAGAGGAAGTGGAGGAGGATCACAGGGGAGGGAAAGGAAGGTTGACAGGGGAAGGAAGGAGGTTGGAAGAGCGAACAAGAAGGGGGTGAAAGCGGAAAGGAAGGTGAAGAGACAGAAACAATGGTGGGAAGGAGAGAAGATGATTTATGTAGGATTGAAGAAGCCATGAAAACCAAGACTTCATTCCTATTTCCACGAGAGAGAGCTGCACATGAAGCAAAGAGTGAGAGCGAGAGCGAGAGCAAGAGCAACTAGTGTGCCATGCTCAAGACAAGCCTAAGAGAGAGAGAGAGAGAGAGAGAGAGAGAGAGAGAGAGAGAGAGAGAGAGAGAGAGAGAGAGGCATCTAGGCCTCTTCCCTCAGCCTCTCAGCCTTAGTTCCTTAGTATAAAGGCTCTGGCAGCCAGCTAGTTCCTCATTGTTCGGTTTCTGATTCTCCTAACCAAGCGGCTCGCGCCGGCCGCGGCCTTCGGCCGCGCGCGAAGGGTCGGCAAGGAAACACACATACGAGTGACTAAAGGGAGTGGCATACACGCAATGGCATCATCAACAATATCCTAGGCAACCATGGCAACAACGGGGCAGGCGGAGCCCGGATCTACATCCGGTGAGCTCCGAGGGCATGGAGAATGCCCGTCAACGTCCGCCACAGCTCACGGACCACCAGCGTACTTGCGCCGATCGCCGCGGCTCCAGATCCTGCGTGCAAGTGTCGCCTCAAGCCCCGGACAGCTTCGTCAAGTTGTCCCACAGCCGCAGCGCCACCCTCTGCGGGCGCAGCCAACGCGGGCACCAGCAGCTGCGCGAGCTGGTCTGCCGCGTCCAGGCAAGTCTCGCGCGGCCTGTCACGAAACGAGTCAGCAGGGATCACAGGGAGAGACGCGTGAGCCAGCACCTGAATCAGCAGCAGAGCGTGAAGGCTCTCCGCAAGACGGTGCAACTGTCCGAGTGTCGTTTCAGGTACTCGGGTCTGCGGGGCCTGAAGTGCCACCGCCAGGAATGGAAGCGGCTCATCATCAGCAGGGTAGGGAGTGTGCTGCGCCCCCGCCGCTCCCCCGCCAGCAGCAACGAACTCAACACCAGCCACCGGCGGAACGGGGGGCAGGCGGAGACGAGATCCAGAAGCTGCAAGCGAAGCAGCGGGGGCACGAGGCGATGGGGCAAGGACGGGGGGAGGAAATACAGCCGCGGGTGGAAGGTCCACGGGAGGTACGGCCTGCTGAGGAGCCACATGCGCCAGCGCCGCCCGCAGCGAACTACTCTGGCTCTGCGCCGCCCTCTCCTCGTGCACGGCCCTCGACACCTCCCTTTGAAGATCCGCCATCGTCACAGGCGGGCGGAATGCCCCACCACCACCGCGCCCGCGGGGACCCCTCCAGCCCCCATGGCCACCATGGGGGGCAGGCCACTGGGCCTGCTGCTGGTAGCGCCGGGGAGAGTTGCGCCGGCGCCGCGTCGACTCGCGCTCCTGCTGGGGCGCAGGAGAATGGGGGCGGGATGGTCGGCGGTCGGGCGACTGGGGACGAGACGGCTGCAGCACTTGTGTCGCCGGCAGCGCAGCGGGGGCAGGCGGGTCCACGACCGGAAGCGCAACCAACGGAGCCGGGCCGCCAGTGGTGGCGAACGCCGCCTTCGGGGACGAAGCAGACGCCGGCGCAGGCACGGCGGGGACAGAAGCGGTCTGTGCAACGGGGGCGCCAGGGGCAGGAGCAGGAGAATCAGCAACCTCCCCAACAGGGGCGGACGCCGCTGGCGCAACGTCGGGAGCAGGAGGACCGGGAGCAGCGGGGGGAGCAGGCGGAGCAGGTGGAGCAACAACAGGGGCAGACGGGCCAGCCTCACTCACGCCAAGGGGATCCGCGGATACGGGGGGAAGAGTCTTTTCAGCGTCTGTTGTCACGGGCTTCGGAGCAGACGGCGGCGGGGACCCCGTCACCATGGTCCCCGTTCCGGAGGCATACGACGGTCTTCCGAACGCAACCGACGCAGCGCCAACGCGCATTGGCGAGTAATCGGTCACTCCAACAATCACCATCGCGAGGCCGGGGAGCGCGAGGCGGAGGGCGAGAAGCGACTAGTGGACAGGGAGGAGGGCCGGAGAATGGCTATCAGGCGGAGGCATGAAGGGCTTTAACCAGACTGGATAATGACGATGACGAAAATATTGACCCCTCTTATAGGGAGGAGCCCATGCCAGCAAGCGAGGATGAAGGGACGGAAGGAGAGGAAGGACTAAGGGAGACCGCTGGGAGGATGGGAGCAGGGACAAGGCAACCCCATGCAGTGCGAGGGGATCCTGCACGCGGACCGTCCGATGCTGATCGTACGGGCGAGTTTCCAACCACACCACCACATGCAAGGACGAGCCGCACTGGGCGAAATCGGACCGCGACAGACACGGCTGCGGCGCGAGAAAATCCCCAACCTCCCCGATACTTCACGCCAGAAGAGCTGGCGATACAGGCAGACCGGCTCGCTGACATCGCGAACTGGGATATCCCTACCCTTTGCGACAGTCGACAGCCTCTTCTGGCACGACGGTTACCGCCAAATTTCTGTCAGTTGTTTTCGCTGGCGTTACTGACCCTGTTACTTCACCTGTCACGAAACCCGGAGTTCGAGGCTGGTTGGCGCCTCCTCCTCTTTCTCCCGCGTCTGACGCTTCGCCAAAAATCGCCACAACGACCGAACTGGCCCCAGATCAAGGCCCGACTCCGAGCCTTCCAATGTGGCGAGTGGGTTCTGTCAGAATATGTTATTTGTCTAGCCTGCAGTGGGGTACTCAATAGTGAGTACAGTCCTTTAGGGTTTCCTATTTGTACCAACCTGCTTGCTAGTGCAATAATTCCTTCTCCTACTTCTCCTTCGTATACTAAACCTAGTCCTAGGGCACAACCTCCTAGTCTTCGTGTGGCCTTGGCTACTTAGCCTAGGCCCTACTGCTAGTATTCCTGACATGGTATCTAGAGCGAGCATGTTTCTGCCGCCTAGCTTAACGGGCCCACCAACTGCTTCCGCTGCCGTACTGTCCGCCGCGCGTCCCGTGGTGCGCGGCGCTGCATTTTCTTCCCGCCACGCGCTGCGAGCGCGTGGCGGCTTTTTCTGCCCGCCGCGCGCTCGGGGCGTGTGGCGGTTTCCTGCCCCGTCGCGGCGCCCCAGGGGACCCGCGCGTCGCCCCCCCCCCCCCCGTCGCCCGTCGTGGCGCGGCCAGGGACCCGCGCGTCCCCCCCCGTCGTTCGTCGCGACGCCCCCAGGGACCCGCGCGTCCCCCCCGTCGTTCGTCGCGACACCCCCGGGGACCCGCCCGTCGCCCCCCGTCGCCCGTCGTGGCGCCCCCAGGGACCCGCGCGTCCCCCCCCGTCGTTCGTCGCGACGCCCCCGGGGACCCGCGCGTCCCCCCCGTCGTTCGTCGCGACTCCCCCGGGGACCCGCGCGTCGCCCCCCCGTCGCCCGTCGTGGCGCCCCCAGGGACCCGCGCGTCCCCCCCCCCCCGTCGCCCGTCGTGGCGCCCCCAGGGACCCGCGCGCCCCCCCCCTGCCCGTCGCCCCTGGCCCCTGGAGCAGCCGTCCCTGCAGCAGCCGCCCCTGGCCCCTGGAGCAGCCGCCCCTGCAGCAGCCGCCCCTGGCCCCTGGAGCAGCCGCCCCGGCAGCAGCCGCCCCTGGCCCCTGGAGCAGCCGTCCCTGCAGCAGCCGCCCCTGGCCCCTGGAGCAGCCACCCCTGCAGCAGCCGCCCCTGGCCCCTGCAGCAGCCGCCCTGGCCCATGGAGCAGCCGCCCCTGCAGCAGCCGCCCCTGGCCCCTGGAGCAGCCGCCCCTGGCCCCTGGAGCAGCCGCCCCTGCAGCAGCCGCCCCTGGCTCCTGGAGCAGCCGCCCCTGCAGCAGCCGCCCCTGGCCCCTGGAGCAGCCGCCCCTGCAGCAGCCGCCCCTGGCCCCTGGAGCAGCCACCACTGCAGCAGCCGCACCTGGCCCCTAGAGCAGCGCTCTGTCTCACCCGCGCCCTCGTGCGCTCTGCTCTGCCCGCACCCTCGTGCGCTCTGTCTCACCCGCGCCCTCGTGCGCCCTGCTGCTGCCCGCGCCCTCGTGCGCTCTGCTGCTGCCCGCGCCCTCGTGCGCTCTGCTATGCCCGCGCCCTCGTGCGCTCTGCTCTGCCCGCGCCCTCGTGCGCTCTGTTCTGTTCAGCCGCCCCTGCCCCCCCCCCCCCCCCCCGTCCCCTGGACAGGAGGGTGTGGGGGTGGCGGGTGTGGGGGTGCTCCGTGTGCGTCGTCCCTTCCTCCTCCTCCTCCTTCTTCGTCTCCCACTGCTGCAGCTGCCGCTGAGGGGGGTGGAGGTGTGGGAGCCGAGGGGAGTGGCGCTAGGGGGGTGACGGGGGAGTGGAGCTAGGGGTACAGCAAGGGGTGTGTGAAAGGGGGGGTGGGACAGTTGGGGGAGGTGGAGCGGAGGCTGCCGTCTTGTCGTCCGCAGCACCTGTAGTCCGGGGCGCTGTCCTGGTAGCCCAGAGAGCCTGCTGCGCCTGTCGCCCGTGGGTCCGTTGCTTCTGCTGCTCAGAGTTAGCCGCAGAGCCAGTTACTCCAGTAGTCCGGGGCGCTGTCCCAGTAGCCACTGTGCCAGCCGCTTCTGTTGCCCGTGCGTCTGCAGCTTCAGCCGTTGCCTCCCATCTCCTCTCCTCTCAGAGTCCAGCCTCCTCCTCCTCACGTGCCCGTTGTGCATGCCTATAGCTTTGCTTATAATTGTGAACTATTGCTATGCCTGCTCATTGTGCTGATTACACCCCACTTTGGCTATGGGGGTGTGTCAGAATATGTTATTTGTCTAGCCTGCAGTGGGGTACTCAATAGTGAGTACAGCCCTTTAGGGTTTCCTATTTGTACCAACCTGCTTGCTAGTGCAATCATTCCTTCTCCTACTTCTCCTTCGTATACCCTAAAACCTAGTCCTAGGGCACAACCTCCTAGTCTTCGTGTGGCCTAGGCTACTTAGCCTAGGCCCTAATGCTAGTATTCCTGACAGGTTCAACTGTACAAAGACGCGATTGACGCAGTCAACGCACCAGCGCCGCCGCGTCATCAGCCAGATGCTACTGGGGTCATTAGCCGAGCCGAGAGCCTGGCAAAGCGGGGCAGCCTGCGCCGAGCTGTACTGGCGTTGGAGTCAACGCCAGTCTGCACACCGACCCCAGAAATCCTGGCCGAGCTTCGTCGGAAACACCCACCAGCTGAACCAGGGACGACAACGTGGCCACCCACACAAGAGTCAAAGCTGTCAATCAACCACGCGGATTTCGCAAAACTTCTGGGGAGATGCGAGAACGGGGTCGGTGCCGGGCCTTCGGGGACAACTTTTGAACACATGCGCGACGCGGCAATCACGAATGGACGGGTCAGCACCCATCTGCACGCATTGATAAACACCATTTTGGGGGGCAACCTTCCAGGCCCGGTGGTGGACCTATTGACAGCCTCACGTCTCATAGCCCTGGCCAAACCTGGGGGGGGTGCTCGACCAATTGCCATTGGCGAATGCATCACCCGGCTGACAGCCAAGGCAGCCCTCACAGCTATGGGCGACGCTGCCCGTGACTACTTCCTGCCCCTACAGTACGGGGTGGCTGTGCCAGGGGGGGCCGAGGCAGTCATCCACGTGGCACGGGCGTACCTGGACAAAGAGCCCAGCAGCCTAGTACTGCAGACCGACATCTCAAACGCATTCAACAGTATATCTCGGCAAGCCATCGCAACGGCGTTACATGAGCCCGGTCTTTCGCCACTAGTGCCGCTGGTGAAACTGACTTACGGTAACCCGTCCAGGTTGCATCTCGACACCAATTTCGAATGCGAACCACTGACCAGCGAACGGGGCGTGCGCCAAGGTGACCCACTTGGCCCTTTACTGTTTGCGGCGGGAATACACCCAACGCTTCGTGACACCGCCAAGGCATTCCCCCACATGCTCTGCCTGGCCTACGCAGACGATGTCACATTTCTTGGAAATGTGACGGACACTGTAGCTGCATTCAATCATTTCACCGAGGGTCTGGCGCAACTGGGGCTGACGCACAACCCGCAAAAATGTGCAGCCTGGAGCAGAGAAGCAGCAGCGAAGGACCAGCTTCCACAGGGAGTGCCTTTTTCCGAGAACGGCGTGCGTTTGCTTGGAAGCTTCGTGGGCCCGGACCGCGGGGCATCGCAGTTCCTGTCGGGTCAGCTGCAGGAAATGGCAAAACCCTTACCTCTTCTTGAGAAAGCCGACCCCCAGGTAGCATCACTGCTGCTCACCTGCTGTATCTCAAGGCGGGTGGCATACCTTACCAGGACGACGCCGCTCCACCTACTGCCTCACGACACTTGGAGTCCAAGGGGGATGGATTTGCTAACGGCGCTACTGACTGCATGCAGCATCCGCGTTCCCACCTGCCGCACTGAACAAGCACGCGTCTGGGCGCAGGCGTCACTGCCATCATCGCTGGGGGGGATAGGCATTACGGACCCTTTAATCGAAGGAGTGTATGGATACGCTGCAAGTTTCACTCAGGCCGCGCTTTTCCTGGCATCACTAGAGGATGTCTCTGATGGCGCGCTGACGCAGGCCCGGGACCACATGCTGCTGCCTGCAGACGTCACCACACCTCTCCACGCGTGGCTTTCCGAGTGCGAAGCGGCGTTACCCGTTGACGCACGGGAGATTCTGGAGAAAGAGCGGCTGGAGCGTTCCGACATCAGACTCCAGCATGCCTTGGCGCTGAAGGTACATGGGAGCAGATTTGCCGTGCAGGTTGAGAAGACACGGCAGATGACCCCGAACCCTTAGTACGGCCACACGCAAAGGATGTACTCCCTGACTGGTTACGGGACCGGGGATTGGCTAACGGCTATCCCCGTTGCGGCAAACAGGAGGATAGGGCCCACTCACTTTTCCAATGCCGTACGCTTCCGGCTGGCCCTCCCTTTCTCCACACCGAAAAACTGCGACTGCGCAGACCACACGGCCATCACGGACCCCCGCCTCCCTAACCACCTTCTCCGCTGCGGCACGGGCAAGCACCGCATCAACACCCATAACGAGCTGCGAGACGCATGTATTAGTATGGCCCAGGACGCGGGATTCGTCGTCCATAGCGAGTCAACAGCGTACTGCCCTATCGAGGAACAAACAGCAGACTTTACAATGACCGACAGACGCAGTGGTGCTGTCTATGTGTGTGATGTCACCATTACGGATCCCATTAGCACCAGAGACCCCGAGGCGCAGAAGGGCAGGGGCTGGGCGGCGCGGGAGCAGGCGGACAAGAAAATCAAGCACTACGCTGCTTGGCCGGAGACTGTGAATTTTTTCCCTCTCGCGGTAGACACGTACGGCTGCCCTTGCACGGAGGTGCCAGTTTTCCTGAAACTCTTGGCGGATACTGCACCTCAGCGCCACTTCAACGCCGACACCAAATCATTCTATGCTGCAAAGTTCCTACACCAGTTCAGGCAACGTTGGTCGGTGGCCCTTCAACGGGCCCAATCAGTGGGTCTCCTGCTCAAACTAGGGGAGGCTGCAGCAGCAGAGAACCCACCTGTGGGGGGGATAGGGGACGAGTTGCACCTTGGGGACTGCTTTGCAGTCATTGAGCCCCTGGTGGAGTTGTAGAGAGATGTTGTGATACGTGGGCCTTGCTTGTTAGATTACCAATACCTCCGTGACCTGCATGACTGTACTTTGCTGCTATATCAATACACGGACCATTAGAGAGAGAGAGAGAGTATGTGGCAGCAGACCCATGGGCACCACGGCTTGGGGACCTGTGGCAGATGACAACAGACGAGTATGAGGAGCGGGAGGCCCCTGCCAGAGCGGCTTAGAGGGGAAAGATAGAAAGGAGGGTGACGAAAGGAGGGTGAGGGTACGAGGCAGGGACCTGGAGGGTGCGGTTGACAGGCGACGAGGGACATGGAGCTGAATCCGCTTGCGGGCCATACGCAGCGGATGTTTTCTCTAACGGGCTATGGCACGGGGGACTGGCTGACGGCAATCCCTAAAAAGGCGACGAGGCGCATTGAACCGGCACACTTTGCCAATGCCGTCAGATTCAGGCTTGGGTTGCCCTTCTCCACCCCCAAAAACTGCGACTGCTCGGACCACACAGCAATCACGGACCCCCGCCTCCCAAACCACCTCCTTCGTTGCGGCACCAGCAAGCATCGCATCAACACCCATAACGAGCTCCGGGATGCTTGCATAAGTATGGCGCAGGACGCGGGTTTCATAGTCCACAGTGAGTCGGCCGCCCATTGTCCCATCGAGGAGCTGACGGCCGATTTCACCATGACCGACAGAAGCAGCGGAGCGGTTTGGGTGTGTGATGTCACTGTGACAGACCCCATCAGCACTCGGGACCCAGAGGCGCAGAAAGGCAGGGGATGGGCGGCCAGAGAGTAGGCAGACAAAAAGATTCAACACTATGCGAACAGACCTGAGACAGTCGGCTTCTTTCCACTGGCGGTGGAGACCTATGGTTGCCCGTGTGCAGAGGTCCCCGTCTTCCTCAAACTCCTGGCAGACACGTCGGCTCGGCGCCACTTCAACGCCGATTCTAACTCCTATCATGCCGCTAAATTTCTGCATCAGTTCAGGCAGAGGTGGTCAGTTGCTCTTCAGAGAGCACAGTCGGTGGGCCTACTCATGAAATTGGGTGAGGCGGCAGCAGCTGAGAACCCCCCGGTGGGGGGTATTGGCCATGAACTACGCCTAGGGGATTGCTTTGCTGTTTTAGAACCACTGGTGGAACTCTAGAGGGTATAGAATGGAACTTGCATGCCTATGAACCTGTATGTGTGTACCTTTCTGCCATATCAATGTACGGACCATTAGAGAGAGAGTTGAAACTTGAAAAGAAAGCAAGCAGGCGGTGACAGCCAAAGGTCTGCAGCACGACAGGCAGGCAGGCGGACGGGCGGGCGGACGGGCGGGCGGGCGGGCGGAAGCGCAGAGGGAAGGCAGCAAGCACGTAGCAGGAGAGGTATAGGGCGGCATGTGGAGGTGTGTGATACGAGTGAGAGGAGCCCGGTTGCACCTGAAGGTGTGTGGCTGGAAGACCACCCATATGGGCTGCTCGTCGTATCTCTGCCTCGCTGCCTGCAGCACTGCCCGCACCTGCCCATGTGAGAGGAGACCGGGGGCGTAGGGGGAAGAAGCGGAAGGTGAGAGGGGATGGGTAGAGAAGAGGGTGGCAAGAGAATGGGTGCAGGGAAAACTGGATAGGAATCCAGGATGGGTGCCGTGGGAACTGCCGTGTGCACTCACAAACACTACACACACTCTCACAAGGCAGCGCATGCACCTCAGAGGGGTGGTTGGCCGCTGCCTGGCTGCCTACCCGCTACCCCTCTTCTCTCCCTATCATTCCACCCCCTCTCCCCCCGCACTTCCCCCTCAGGTGCCTCCCAGGTGTCGCTGGTGGCGCACTCAGCAGGCGGGTGGCTGGCCTCTCCTGACTGCCTACCCGCTACCCCCCTCTCTCCCTATCACCCCACCCCCTCACCCCCCGCACTTCCCTCTTAGGCGCCTCCCAAGTGTCGCTGGTGGCGCACTCAGCAGGCGGGTGGCAGGCCTCTGCCTGACTGCCTACCCGCTACCCCCTTTCTCTCCATATCACCCCACCCCCTCTCCCCCCGCACTTCCCCCTCAGGCGCGTCCCAGGTGTCGCTGGTGGCGCACACAGCAGGCGGGTGGCTGGCCTCTGCATGAGTGCCTACCCGCTACCTTCCTTCTCTCCCTATCACCCCACCCCCTCTCCCCCCACGCTTCCCCCTCAGGCACTGTTATAGTCACAGTGGGCTCCAATGTGCCTAAAACGAAAGATAGAGTGCACAGTCGGATTTCTGCACAGCGGATTCAAACGTTCATAGCGATCTGCTCACAACTCCAAATGACTTCATTCAACTTGGATCTGGAGCGCCTTAACGCCGCCTACAATAGGCAATTTAGATCGCACGATTTCATTACGAATTGACGACACAGCGTCGGTTTGAACGAACGGCACTATGGCAGCCACTATAGTCTTAGAACACACAATAGGAAGAGTTAGCAAGAGTTACGAGTTGGGTATGACTCCCAGCTCCTACAAACCCCAAAAGCCGAGGTACAGTGATGTGGAACAGTGCCACACTGTCCCCAACCAAGAAGGGTCTCGAAACTACCCTTCAAAAGGGCCTACACCAACTGAAATCTTACACTACACAAAGTAATGTAACTATCTTCAATATCTTGAGGTGTACCCTTTTGGCGAGCTTCGAAATCACTTGAAGCTTGCAACCAAGTCTCCGGTTCTTCATCACAAAACTCATCCTTGAGTTCTTGATGGGTCTGCTGCACACACCTGCGACACGCCGAACGTTCGACAAGCGACAAAATAGAAACCGCGCACGACAAAATAGAAACCGCGCGGGACACACAAAATGACCGCATTAACACGCGGCTAGCGATAAATCGCTATTGACTTGACACACACACTCGACATCATGACCCATCATACACACACTATTATAAGCATGAAATATATATTATCCCATGCCCTGATACCATTCCATGCACACACGCATGCACGCACACGGACAACAAGCCGAGTGCAAACCGTAGGTTGCACCAACAAACTTCCCCTCGGATTGTTGGCCTTAGGATCTGTTGCTCTCAGTTCAGAGCCATCCCAGCCAGCTTGCAACACTTCCAATGCTGCTGCTCCACCAGCCTCTTGGTCATCATGTCAGCTGGCTGCCCCGTCGTCTTCACATAACGCAATTCAACTTCACCCGCGGCCACCATGCTCCTCGTCCAGTGCCACTTCACCCTCATGTGCTTTGTCAAGCCATGCAACACGGGGTTCTTGGCTAGAGCAATGGCTCCCTGGCTGTCACAATAGAGAGGAGTAGGTCCTTGCTGCTCCTCCCCCAATTCAGCCAACAAACGCCGCTGCCACACAATCTCCCGTACGGCACGGAATAGAGCCATGTACTCGGACTCCACCGAGCTCAATGCTTGATCAACCTGCTTCTTGCTCTCCCAAGCAGTTGGGCCTCCACCTACACAGCAGATGAAGCCTCCCACACTAGTCATGTCCTCTGGTTCCGATGCATAAGAAGCATCCGAGTAGGCGGTGAGGAACAAGCGCCCGGGTTCAACTCCATCCGCGCCCTTTTGGCGCCTTAGCGCCGCCGCCGAGTATTGCAGCCCAACGGTCGGTGTTTGGCCAAGATACTTGGCCACCCTCATTCCAGCTGCTACCTGCTCCTCATTAGGGCATTGAACAACCCTTGCCAGCTGCCCGGTAGCAAACGCGACATCCGGTCGTGTGTTGACCGCCGCATACATGAGGCTGCCCACCAATGAGTGAAATCGGCGCCTCTCCTCTTCACCCACGCTCTCCTCCTCGGGACCCTTCACACACTTAAACCCAGAGGGAAAGGGTGTAGCCACATGACCTTCACTCTGCCCAAAGTTGGCAGCCAACGCCTCCAAGTACTTCCGTTGGTGCACCCGCATGCACCGCTTCTCCACGTCACGTTCGATGTGGAGCCCGAGGTAGAAGTTGACGTCCCCAAGGGACTTGCACTTGAACTTGTCATGAAGTTTCAGCATCACCTCCTTCACAAGGTCAGAGGAGGGGGAGAAGATCAGGATGTCGTCCACGTACACCACCATGAAGCTCCTCTGCTCCCCCTCGCCAAGCATGAACAAGGAGTGATCGGCCGTTGAGGGAGTGAAGCCGATCTCCTCCAACACTTCGCGCAGCTTCATGTACCACTGCCTAGGAGCCTGCTTCAGCCCATAGAGGGCCTTCTTCAGCTTCCACACTCTGCCGCTACCATCGTCAAATCCCTCTGGCTGCGCCATAAAGATCTCCTCCTCAAGGATTCCGTTGAGGAACGCCGTTACGATGTCAAGCTGCTTCACCACCCAACCTTTGATCGCGGCTCCCGCGAATAGGGTTTGCAGCATCGTCGGCTTCACCACTGGAGCAAACAGCTCCTTGAAGTCCACCTTCTCCTTTTGCTGGTACCCCTTGGCCACCAGCCTAGACTTGTAACGCTCGATCTTGCCGTCGGCATCGGACTTGATCTTGAAGAGCCACTTGGACGTAATCGCCTTACGCCCCTCCGGTAGCTCCACCAACTCAAACGTGTCGTTCTCCTCGATGCTCTTCAGCTCACTCTCCATGGCCTTCTTCCACTCCTCAGAATCACCACTCTCCAGGGCCTCCTTGAGAGTTGCTGGTTCTCCCGGCATCTCCACCGGAGAGAAGAACGCGAACGCACAATCCTCGTAGTCACTCTCCTCGTCGTCTCCGACCATCATTGCTGCTCCGGCCAGGGCTGTCTTGCCCTGCTTTCCCGGTGCATCATAGGTCAGCCTGTTAGGGGGTTGAACTCTCCTCTTCCCCCTTCTTTCCTCCTCAGCTGCAGGGACTTGAAGGCCTTGGCGTTGCTGCGGTGTGGCTCGAATCCGAGGAGCACTCCTAGTGCGGGAAGGGAGTGACGGTGCACGCTCGCTCACTTGCTGCACCTCCTCCTCTTCTTCCTCTGCATCATTGGCCTCCTCTCCCCCATTCACAAGGGAAGATTGCCTTGTGGTAGTGCTGCCGCTGCTCAGCTCCACATGCTCCAAACCGGAACTCTTCACCTCCCCAAACCGCACGCCTATCTTCGCCTCATTCTCCGCCTTCCAATCCTTGTACATGAAGTTCTCGATGAACTTGCAGTCCCTGCTCACCATGAACTTCTTTGTGAATGGGTCCCAAAGAAGCCATCCCTTGCTGTTTTGAGCCATGCCCAAGTGCACGGCCCACACCGCCTTGGCACCAAGCTTGTTGTGCCGAAGATGCTTAGGCACGAGCGCCATGCACATGCACCCGAACACCCGAAGCATATCCACCTTTGGCTTCCTTCCAAGCCACTCCACATAGGGCACCCATTTGTCTGCTCCCACATGAGTCAAAACTCTGTTCTTGGCCACACACGCGCTCCGCACCGCATCAGGCCAGAAGTAGTCGGGTAGCCCGGCTTCAATGAGCAACCCGCGTGCCGCCTCCGTGATTGTCCGGTTCGCTCGCTCGGCGATGCCGTTCATTGCAGGGGAGTATGGCATGGTGAGGGAGTGCCGAATACCATTCTTCTTCAGCCACAACCCAAACTCCTTGCTCAGAAACTCTCCCCCTCGATCGGTGCGGATCGACTTCACTAGACGGTCTTGTTGCCGCTCCACCATCGGGAACCAATCCGTCTTCAACGTTTCAGCCACGTCGCTCTTCTTGGCCAGCACATACACCCATGTCATGCGGGTGTAGACGTCCACAATGGTAAGGAAATACTCAGCTCCAGCAGCTCCAAGCTTTAGGGGGCCCACCACGTCCATCACCACCTCATCAAGCGGTGCCTTAGCCGTCGCCTCCGAACTAGAGAACGGGAAACGGGTGAACTTGGCTTGCATGCACGTCGGGCAGCCAAGCACCTCATCGGGCTCCCCCTTCACATGTATGCCAGCAACCATCTGGTTCTTCACTAGCTGCTGCAAGATAGGCAGGGCCAATGCAAGGTGAGCCAATCACACTCCCCCGTAGCCGAAGTCGGGTTGGAGAATGCCGCGCTCGCAATAGCGCCCCACATGCTCTCTCCGTACTCCTCCTCCGCTGCCGCCTCGGGGTTCTCCTCACCCTTGTGCTGCTCCTTGGCTGCTGCACCTCTCTCCTTAGGTTCACCGAGCTTGCTGGTCCCTTCAGGTTTGCTCTCCTTGAGCTCGTTCTCCTTAGCGCGACCGTTCGCGCCATCGCCGCTACCAACCGCTTCACCCTTGGTGCTGACGCTTGCTGCCACTTGCCTCTCCTTAGGCATGGGGACCACAGGGATCTGCCACATCTCATTTTAGACGTCCCTATCCTCGTGAAGGTCCCATAGAATTCGCTCGCCAAGCCTCGCGGTGTAGGTCTTGGCCCCCTTCGAGTTCGTGTCCATGCCGGCCTTTGCCAATCGCCGCACGGAAATCAGGTTGGCTGCAAGGCTGGGCACCCAAAGCACGTTCTTGAGGCCCACCATCTTCCCATCAGCACCCTTGAACATGGCCTTGCCCATGCCTTTCACCTCTGCTCGCTGCCCCAAAGCCGATGTGACATGCTTCACCGGTGACGGCTCGAGTTCGGTGAGCAAGTCGGGGCGAGGTGTCATGCTGTAGGTAGCGCCACTATCGATCACCCAATAGTCCAGGGGGTGTAGGGTCACCTTCCCCACAGCTGCTGGCTCCTCAAAGCCTTCATCATTCTCTGGACCAGCCGGTACTTGCGTCGACACGAAGTAGAATAGACCCGGGTACCGATCGTCGCTCGAGTCCTTGTCGTTGTCTCCGCTTTTCATGTTTGCAGCTCCACCACCGCGACCGCCACGGCCTCCACGGCCTCTTCCTCTCCCTCCTCCTGCTCCTCTACCCTCTTGGCCTTGAGCAGGGGTCCAACCTTCTGGGAGTTTGTAGCAGTCGCGCCACATGTGTCCGCTCTTGTGGCAATAGTGGCATTCACCGTCAAACCGGCCGCGACCGCGACCGTAGCTCTTGTCGTCGCTGCCGTAACCGCCATTCCCGCGGCCTCCACTGAAGTTGCCGCCACCAGATCTTCCTCCCCCTCGTCCTCTGCCTCTTCCTCGGCCATATCCATGGCCGACGCTTGCTGCCCCAGCGCCATCCGCACTCGCCAACTCACGGCGGCG